TGGGGACTTGGTGATACTATTGTAAATGGAATGGATGTGGGGTAGAGATTTGTGCAGGCTTAAGAGGAGGGCTTGAAATGACTTCCAAATTTGTTCCACTTTTGGTACCACATTAGTGGTAATTTATATACCTGTATGACCCTCCTATCCTGTGTTTGCCTGAGAACTAAGTTTGCATGTACTTGGTTGCTGTTAAGATTGTCAGAAAGCCAGCGTCTCTTCAGTTGTTTTAGAGTAGTGTTAATATGACAAATGTTAGCATTAATTGTGGTGATTCTCAGCTACACAGTGATTGTTACTGCTTTTATATTCACTTTTTTTTTTTTTTCTACTTGCAGTGACATCTTTTGCAGTTGATTCTTCTGGCGAGATTGCTTTCCCATGTCTTTAGCTGACTGAGTTTTGTTTTTCTTTTCTTCAACAGAGTCAGACAGAAAAGCTGGCTAAAGTCTACCAGCCAAAACGTGCCCTCTTATCCACTAAGTGCACTATTTCTGTTGCAAATCTCTTGGCAGCTCGGCAAGATCTGTCAAAAATTATGAGAACAAGCAGTGGATCCATCCGAGAGAAGACTGCATGTGCCATTAATAAGGTACCCTTGGTGACAAGTAGCTAACATCACTTTTTCTGTCATGAATATTAAAGTTACTTGAATGCAGTAATAAATCGTACTTTCTTTTTATGATTGTAAATGGGAGTTGGAAATAAGGGATAAGAAACTTGACATCTGTGTACTCTAAATTGCACATCAGTGCATTACGAGGAACTGTAGCTTTACTTGTCAAGGTTCAGAGTGCCCCTTCTTAGGGGCACTGGAAAAAAAAAGAAAGTTGAAACATTTGATTATTTTCAGCAGGAGTTGCCTGCTCTGTCTTATCAGCATTACTGGTGTTCTTGCATTGCTGTTGCCTAATTCTGTCATGATATCCAAAATAACACCTACATAGTAACTTTCTGTACTATATAAATAAAATCTATTAAAATCTTTTGAATATGTCACCGGTCAGATTCTCCTCTGCACACAAATGAGAGATTCTAGTCAAGTGTGTACTTCTAGTAATTATATAGTAGAAATATGATTTGGACTGAACAGTTTCCGTGTTTCAAGAATTAGGTTTTTACAGGCTCACAAAAGTACACTTATTGAACTTGAAGATCGGGAGCTGTGCACCAAAGTGTACTTTTAAAACTGTGTATTCATACATGCTTTTCTCCATTTTGTAGCTCAGGTAATGTTCTAGTTCATTTAGAATGGAATAGTGGCATAATTTAACCTCCTACTGCAAATAATTTTTGCACCTTTTAGTGTAGTTGGAGTGTGAAATTTAAAAGGAAGGAAGTGGGAAGACAGATGCGACTATCATCAGATTATATATACACCTTACTAGGAATGTGGCACTGCCCTGCTGCTGATCTGTATTCTGTTGACTTAATTCCATTATCAATATTAAGTGTCTTTCAAAACAGTAACAAAAATTAACAAAATAACCTGCTTCTATGAGATCTTACAACTCCTAAGGCAGTTTCCCTTTCCCTTTGCAGGTTCTTATGGGTAGAGTGCCTGACAGAGGAGGAAGGCCCAATGAAATTGAACCGCCACCTCCTGAGATGCCACCCTGGCAGAAAAGACCAGAGGCTGGTCCACAACAAAGTGGTGGCCGAGGAGGAAGAGGTGGCTACGAATCCCCATATGGAGGGCGAGGAGGTTATGACCACGGGGGTCACAGCCATGGTGGTCATGAGCGAGGAGGAAGAGGAGGCTATGACTCATCATATGGAGGACGAGGAGGTCATGAACGAGGAGGTCATGATCAAGGAGGCCATGATCGAGGAGGGCGAGGAGGACGTGGTGGCTATGATCATGGTGGCAGAGGAGGTGGAAGAGGAAACAAACTTCAAGGAGGGTGGACAGATGGTGGAGGTGGTGGCTACCAGGATGGCAACTACAGGGATAGCAACTACAGAGATGCAGGTTTTCAAACGGGTGGCTACCATGGTGGTGGTGGCGGCGGCTACCAAGGAGGAGGCTATGGTGGCTACCAGTCATCTTCATACACAGGAAGTGGCTACCAAGGGGGTGGTGGCTACCAGCAAGACAACAGATACCAAGATAGTGGGTCCCACAGTGACCGAGGGGGTGGGCGTGGAGGAGGCAGAGGTGGCCGTGGTGGTCGTGGTGGCCGTGGAGGTCAAGGAGGCGGCTGGGGAGGCAGAGGTGGACAGAATTTTAATCCAGGTGGGCAATTTGAGCAGCACTTCCAGCATGGAGGCTATCAGTATAATCAGTCTGGTTTTGGACAAGGAAGGCACTTCACAAGCTGAGGTTGCTAAAAACTTTTGCTTCAGCAGAGCTCAAATAATAAAAACCTGGTTTCAGAGCCTTGGTTTAATCACTTTTGAATCTGTACAGGTTTGTACATATGAGGCAGAATCTTTTGGGGTGGGATATTTTGTATTGAACTAAGTATAGCTTTCTATACTTTCCTTCCCCCCCAGTCTATCAGAATTGAATGCATCGTAACTACTCACTGCACTTCACTTAATCGTAAATTAATAGTCATGCTTTTTTGATGTTGGACTGACATCTGCTCAAAACACATTGATTCCAAAACTACCTGCTGTGTTTTGCTTGACGCTTCAATTGGAAAAATTATAAAGACTGGTCTGGTCAGAATTATATGTTTCAGTATACAATGGAATTTCTGCATCCCCTAGCCATTGTTCAGTTATATGACCTAAAATCAGTGCTAAATATTGCTTCTGGATTGCTGTCCTCTTCTTTTAATTGGAGTTGCACACATACGCAGGTCCCCACAGCAATTTCCCTCTAACAGACAGGTTTGTTATCTATTATATGAGCTCTGCTGTAGATGTCATGTTTGGTAGCCTTATCTTCCATTAAACAAATTTTTTCCCACCTGCTCAAGTCTGAAGACTTACCGCTGCCAAAATCTGCAAAGATTATTTAAAACTAAGCTAAATTGTGAACTGGTAGTGTACATAGGCCTGTAGTTAGGTGTAGCAATTCAAACTGACCTGCATCCATCCAAAACAAGTTGCTCCTCCTTCAAACTTAATTTTTACTTGAAATCAGCTAGGAAAAAAAAACAAGGAAGACAAGTTGAAATTATTTTATTTGCAAGTTAATACCACTGGCTCAGCAGATCTAGGGCAATTTGTTTTGGGGGTTGTCTTTTTAAAGAAATGCACTACGGCCTGGGAAGTTTAGTTCCTGCCTGGAGGAAGCCCTTTTATTATTGCTGCAGAAAATAAAGCCTGGCTGAGTTTGATGTTCTAATGCATTGGTTTGTTTTGTTTTGTTTTTTTTTTTTCCTTTACTGAAAGCCACATAATGCTTCTTGCTGGGTTTTTTGTGTACATAAACATTGTCAAGCTGTGAAAGAAAATGGCTGAAGGTTTGCTGTTGTATAAAAGGTGAGCAATAAAAGTATCTGTATGTTCCCCTTTGCTTTGGTTTCTTTTCCTTCTGGTGATGAGTAAAAAGCAGTTTCTACACTAGGTAGGAACTCTTAGGTATTTCTGATTGCTTCATCAATTTTTTTTTTGTTTTAATCTCTTAGGTGATCTAATCATCTCAGATGTACTGTGCATTTTGCCTCCTTAAAAGCTGTCAGGACAGGAGTGAGTGGGAGGAGTGGATCTTCATTGTTTTCGGTTTGTCCTCTTCCTTTCTGATTTGGTGTAGCAGCACAGTCTCCCTTGCTGGAGGTTTCCATGTGAGCTAAGCTCTGCCATCATCAGGCTGTGGCTCCTTCCTATGCCACATGAACATGGTATGCTTCTGGGAGCTCTACTGATGCTGTCTGGGCTTGTGGGAAGGTTAGGTTCTTGCCTGGGTAGCTGTAGTAGAGACTAACCTGATGGCAGTCCCTGGGCTACTTGAAATATCCAGAAGTCTGAATTCTGTATGGATACAGATAGAAGTTCCTTGGATTACAGAAATAATATGAGGAATTGAGGAGCGTGTGCAACACTGGCCTTACTGAGATTTAAGCTGATCGTGTAAATAAGCTGATAAAATGTTATAATCGGTCTCCCTGTGTTTCATTACCTGACCAATCTGAAAAGACCCTATGTATTCTGTATTTATTCTGACCACTAGGTGCTGCTAGTGGTTCACAAGCAAGAAGTGAAGGTCTCTAAAGGCACTTGGCAATCTGTTGATGTCTATTGAAGGTTTTTTAATGCTTCAAACAAATCTAATGAGGCTAACAAGGGAAAAGTTTCCGTACTGAATTCATGTCATTGGGATCACTGAAATAGATTGATCTCAGTGTAACTACAGTTCAAATCATAAACTTCCTCTAAAATGAGTGTTTCTTCATGAAGGTGTTGGCTTCTTGCAGCAACATGCTACAGATAATGCATCTCTGTTGTTGAGAGAGTAATACCTTGTTGTGAACATTAGCTGGTGACTAGTTGCGTTCATGTAAGAATAATCAGTTTTTAATTACAATATTTATTTATTTTTAAGAAGTAGGATTCTTGCAGCTGGGATAGTCTTAGACTGATACAGATAGATTGACAGAAGTAAACAGCCTTTGTCTGGGAATGTAATGGCTTCAAGTTGACAGATTCTGCTTTTTCTCATACAGCTTTTCATGTAAGAAGACCAGTGTTCTCTGCCAGCACTGCAAACCTGTATCTAGGGAGAGGGAATCCAGTAGGCTCTTTAGAGAGCCTCTGGTTGAGTAGCATCAGCACCTTCAGAGAACTTCCTGTGGCAGAGCTGTCATTTTCTCTGCATGGCTGTGACTTGCTGTACTGGGTGTTCTCAGCTCTGCATGCTGAGATGGTGTGATGAAATGCTGGGGATGAGGTGACACAGATTCCCTTCCCTCTGGTTTTACCCAACTTGTTCTCAAAATACGCAATTTCTCCTCCTTCTTCCAGGACCTAGGGTGAGCTTACCCCAATTTTACTGTTGTTTGAGGGGGAGCAATCTGTGGGGGGAGGGGGAGGGAAGAGGGTGAAAAAGGCAAAACAGGAGGCTTCAGTCTTCCAACAGGAAAGAAAATGCTTTGCTTTTGCCAGCTGTTGTTGTTTTCCTTACTCTGTTGTTTCCTCCCAGTGTGCTGTGACTTCTTTGTTCTCTGGAGAAAACAAACTTTGTGGGGAGAGCAGCCTTTATTAATGAAAGCAAACAGCCGCTGCTTTGTTATTGTCTGTATGATGCCCTGATAATGTTTTGCAAACATAATTCCTGCTATGCTGGAAGGAGTCTCGTGACTGGACGTTGGGAGAGCAGCGATGGCTTGTGGAGGTTATTGGGCTTATGGTAGTTTGGATATATGTGCTGCATTTCATTGTGCAACGATCGAAAGCAGAACTCCAGGAGATCAAGAAGGCAACTAAGTAAGCAAGTGTTATGTAGTGGAACAAAACGTTTTTCCTTTAAAGATGGTCGTGTTTGACACTCCTCTTTTTCTTCCACAAGTTTTGGGCATTGTGCTCTGTTCTTCCCTTGGCCTTTCTTTTTCTCCAGTAGCTCTTATTCCCTGATGTTTCACTTGCATTGCTTTCCTACTGTCTCTTAGGATGACCCTCTCAAGTGTTGTAATAGTGCGGTGAAATGACCATGGGGAGCAGGATGTAGTCCTGGACACACTCTTGCTTCCCATATTAGGATGTTGGTACATGTTCTATTTGCAGTGTGGTCACAGCTGGATTTTCCTTGTAGCTCTAAGAAACCAATAAAAGTTCATTCCTTATTGTGTGCAAACCTGTAATGCAGCAAGGGAAAGAACATCAAGCTGAGCTTTCACCTGCCCTAGGGAGACTTTTGTAGCTGTTTCCTGGCTGGTTTATCATTCAGGATTGGTGTTGGTTGACCAGACAAAGCCCTGAGGTGTGCAGCTTCATGGTGGTGTGTGCCATTACGAGTAGTGGCCCCAGAGGAGCTCCCTAGCTACAGGTTGGATTTCTCAGCTGTACCATACAGGTTATTTGTTCTAACATGATGGGGTCTTTATGAAAATGCTGTTCACTTATGGATTATTCAGTGCGGCAAGTGCCCCAAACACGGGGCTGTGTTTCTTAGTGCCTACTAAGAAGTCAGTCTTATCAGCCATGTACTTCAAATGGGACTGGGAAGAGGCGAGGGGCGAAGCAAGATTCTTGCCAGTATACTGGAGCATGAAATGTTCTGTGGTGTGAATGTGTTCCCTGTGATGGGTTGTGCACCTGGGAAATAAAAATTAAACACTGCTGATTTGAGGAGAGTTGCAGAGGGATTAGATGGCTCTTACGAAGGCCTGACGAGTCTGTCAGGTGTCCAGGAGACTTGTGTGGGTTCTGGGAGCACAGGTGTTAGCTCAGTTCCCTGTTAGGCCAATGGAGGCCAGCACTAAGTCTTGACTGTGCTCATTTCAGGTGGCTTAGCCCTAGTTCTGCCATGTTTAAGACTGCGATGTTGTTACTGCTAAAAACTTCCAGGCCTTTAATCCTGCTGCCAGTTTTTGATCCTGCTATCTCTCATCTTCTGATTCCTTTGGGCGAAAGTCATGCTACAAAAACATGTCTGTATTTGAAGAAGTTGAGCGTGATTTTGCAATCTCGAACAAGGTGGCTTATGATCAACTCCAAGCTTAATTTATCAGTCTCTTAATGTACCCTTATGTTAGGATCACATCAGTGCTATGACCAGCGAGCAGTACGTGATGTGAATGTGAACTTCTGTTTCCTCTGTGCAGGCTCTCAAAATATTGATGTGTTGTTTTTTTTTCTTTTCAGATAACGTGTTTTCAAAGGGACGTAAACTGAAAAAGCAAGTGCCATTGCCAGCTGTAAACATTGCCTTCTCCTCTCTTTGGCTGAAAAAAGTAGTACCTCTAATGACTAAACAAACAAGGTTAGAAGGGAAAAAATATTTTTTCTTTTGTGTTTACTTTGTGCTTTTTACAGCTCGGAGTGCTGTCAGTGTCATTGTTTTCCCCTTTATTGTCCAGTAATTTCCCTTCTCGTCCACGTGGATTTTTCCCACAACAGAGGAGAGAAAAACAAGTACAGAAAGTAGGAAAACACTATTGTAAAACCAGAGAAAGAGTGAGTCTGCCTGTACTGTGGGCAGGTGGAAGGTCATAACTCGTTTTCACACATGAAGCAGAGATGAAGGTGATAAGGACTCTTTAAACTTTCCGGCATTGGCTTAACTCATGGAAAAAGCAGACTCTGGCTAAATAGAACAGTGCCCCAGCAGTAGCCTTTTGCTGATGGCTTTTCTTTCTCCTAAGACTGGGCTGTCAGCAGCTGTAAATAGCAATTTGGAGTTCAGCACAGATTTTCCAATGAGTTTAGCCTGAGAGAGACATGTTGGCTGCAATGTTTATTTTGAAAATCCAGTTCAGTTGGTGCTGATAACTAAAAAATTCGTTCCAAAATTACATCTGTTTCTCTGGTGTCCCTGTGTTGGCGAGCTCTATCGGGACTCTTGAGAAGTACTTGGAGCTGTTTTCTGTGCTGTGTCAAAGCCCATCAGTTAGGCTGATGCTGAGTGAAGCAAACCTTGAGCAGATATATATATATATATATATATATATATATATATATATATTTTTTTTTTTTTCTGTGATATTCACAGAACAACAAGCCCCAGTTTCTCCTGCCTCTTGTCTCCCTGAAATCTGCATTTGGATCTCCTTCCTTCCTTCCCCTTCCCCTTGGTCTCCATTGGGATCCCCTTCCATTCTTGGTGTCACGTAAAGAGGGAGAGCACTCCTAGCACTCTTCTTCCCACACTCAGTCTCCATCTGTCTGTTCTTTGTTCTCTGTGGTGTTGTTTTTCCTGTGTCTAAGTTTCCTCACATGTAGATATTTCACATAAGCGACACCTGAAACATTTGGATCTTGGGTCCCAAGTGGGAAGGATCCCCATCTGTCTGCTCAGGATGCCCACGCAGGGCTGTTCAGTTCCCTGTGGGGAAAGTACTGGTGGCTTCACCAGGATCTGTGTTCACTTTGGCTTGTGCAGAGGAGTCCCTGAGCCATGGGGGTGACAGCTCACTCCATTTCAGAAATGTGAAACTTTAGGCAGCAGCTATTCCTGAACTGACTCTGCGGCTCAGATTTTTATCCTCTGTATTAAAAGGAAAAAGGCCCACCTCTTCAAGTTTGTGCTTTGAACTAGCTTTGTTTAGCATGCATGTTATTGTCCCCTTTCCCCTCTCAACTTTTCTTTTCTCTGACTTATGCTGGCTGAGAAATACTGCTTTTAGAAGTTAACTAGTCTAGGAATTTTATTTATTTATTTATTTTTAATGGAGCTGGAATTATTCCTTTAAAATCCAAAGGCTGACTAAGGTGTGGAGGAAGGAGGGGCAAGACCTAGAGCAAGAGACAGCTGAAATACTGACATTGTTTTATGGTTCGCTCAGAGCTAGTTGTTCCCTTGACTCCTTACACAGCGGTCAGGGCTACTTAATAAAGCTAATGGCAAAGCTGGAACTCCTTTATTGATAACACAGGATGTTGTCTAGGTTTTGTGGAAGCACAAATTCCTGGTGGGTTTGGCATGAAGAGCCACATCATCTCTTACAGGGTCTACCCTACATTTGTATTTCTCATGTGCTCTCATTGCTTGTATTCTTTGTCTTTCACAGATAAAAGCTGTAAATACAACTTGGCATATAAGTAAGGTTTGGTGTAGTGTTTCTTCTTCCCATTCTTTCAAAAAAAAAAAAAAAAAATCCCCCCTCTTTCCACCTGGAGATTGAGGCAGGGAAGAATGGTGGCTGAGGAAGTATCCAGCATCATCTGGATTCTTCTCACTTCAGCTACTTCATTAATCCAATGCACGTGACACTACTGCACCTTCTCCTTGAACTGCTTTCTTTGCAGACAGGGTTTCCAAGAACAGCAGAGGTGTATAGCGCAGTTGGGAGTGGTAATGGCTGGCAGGTTTTGCCTTTTGTGAAATCAGGAGAATCAAACAAGAAATTCTTTGTTGCCGTGGCCCGGTTAGGAACTAAAGTTTTTTGTGAGATGAGGAAAATTCTTGCCCCTGCTCAGGAGAAGACATTGACTGTACAGCAGGAGAGAAAAAAGACTTTTATTTTATGTATTCAGGCTTCCTTCAACGTGAAGAGCTCGTCTTACACCAGCTTCTTAAAATGTTTGCTCCTGCCCTGCGAGCTCTCCCCACTCTCAGTTGTTTGTAGTGGAACTAAAAAATCAGGATTCTGCTGCGAACAGCCTGTTAATGCATTTTTTGTTGAAAGATTATGTTGACTGACAAGTCCAGCTTTTTTTCAGAGCTGGCTATATATATTTCTACCCAATGTCTTTCTTCTTAACACACTTGTTATTCTCCTTCTTGAGATGCTTAAAGCAAAGGGTTTCCAGCAAGAACCTCAAAATTCTCATGAGCCTTTCTTGGACATCCTAATGCTCTTCTTTGAAGGATCAGTTGTGTGTATGTGTGTGTGCGTGCGCGTAACCTGTGCTTGATCTACAACTTAACTCCAGCTACTGCTGCCCAAAGCAGGTAGCTTCCCAAAGGTGCTGGGCTTTTAGGAGATGCATTAATTTGATTTTGCGGTGGACAGAAACTCAAGCAGTCTAATTGTGAGTGGAAAGTTGCCCTGAAAGTGAGAGCTGCTTCTGTAGAGAATGTGACTTTTTTGCTTAAGAGCCAGTTTCTCTCTTGATGATGGTATGCATAGGAAAAATGTGTCCTTTAGGAAGCCTTCTTGGAAGGACATAGAACACCATGTCTTTTAACCAACTTAGACAAGAAGCCTGTAAATAGCTTGAGGAATTACTAAGGTTGTGTACTAGAAACTTTCTTGTCTAACAAAGAAAAACAGATGGGGGTGTGGATTGTGGGCCTGACAGAATAGGAGAGCAAATACATTTCAGACCAAGAGCTACCACTGACTTCAGAAGCCTGTGAGAAATGGTCTGAGCATTGGCTAGAACTCTTGCATGACTGAAGAATGAGTGAAGAATGGAGTTTCACAAGAACATTTCATTTATGAAGTGTTAAAAGGCTTATCTCAACAGATCCATCAGCAACCTGGATAGCAACTGAATTTCTCTATTCAAATGTTCTACCACATCATTTTCATTGTGTGCAAGCTGTGTGCTGTAACGGTGCCTGAGCAGTCAGTGTGTGGTGACCCATCACCTGACCCATCACAGACAGCACAGGATGCATTTCTGCTAGTCTCTGCTCTTTGCCCACAGCAGGAGAGAGAGAGCTGAGGATGCTTCTAGCCCCACAGTTTGCTGTAGTGCTTATTTCTGAGTTTCAAGCAGTAAGAGCACATTCTGCATTTTCTCCTCAGATTTTTACCATCATTACTGGGAGGGGTGTGAAACAAAGGAAACCTGCACAGCTGAGCAGGCCCCATGTTGGCACAGCACAGTGTACAGTTGGATTACCACAGAGGAGTCAGTCAGGTTTGGTTAGGGAAGCCAATGGAAGCCCTCCTTCACCCTGAGGCCTTGACCCCTTGGTAAAGCGTGCAATGACTTGAATTTTGTTGGACATCTTATCCTCGGGTTGCTTTGATTCAGAGCCTGAGTTCCCCATACACATCTATTTCTGTGGGGAGGCAAAGGGAGAAGAAGATGACAACTTATCTGCGAATTTGGACCATGCTGTTCAGGTATGAGCTTTGTCTTGGGCTTTATTTTCCTTGCTTTTTCCATGTGAAGGCTGTACGTTTCAGGCAACTTAATGCTTCTGAGAAATCCCACTTCAAACCTGCTTCTCCAGTCACTGCAGATGGAGGAGTTAGAGCCTACCTTAACAAACTTAATTTGGATGTATGCTTAGTGTCATATTTTAGTCTTAACATGTGACTTGCTATCCTGAGGAAAAATGTGAAGTATTATATGCATGTCCAGACACATACTTAAAACTAAGACATTTATTACACGCTAATTCTACCCATAACCAGTGCTGGTAGAGAGGACAACTCTCCTTTGCAGTATCACCAAACACCTGCACGATGTCTTGGAACTTCCTCACTCCCAGCCACATGCTTGAAGGAGCCTCCCTCTGGTAACAGCTATTGCTGTGCTGGATGTGTGCTCATCGTAGCAATGTAAATGTGTCCAAAATTCAAAACCCCAGGTGTGCAAGGGATTTCACTGTAGAGGACTTTATGAAAGGAGATGTGGGTTTTTCATTTTTGGTGGTTTTTTGTTGTTGCTTTTTTGTTTTGTTTTGTTTTTGAGATTTAATCAACATCCACACCTACTTCTTTCCTTAAGAGATCATTACAAGCCTCTGAAAAAGGAGTCTTATCAAATGAATGCGGATGGTTGGCTTCTGTCCTCACTGCTGTTGTTGCTGGCAGGCATGCTGAGATGATGCAGTACTTTTAAAGGATGCCAAATATATCCTCACTGGCATGGAGGGGAAGTTTCCACAAAATCATACAAGAGAAAACACTGAGTGCAGAGATCTGTTCTGCTGTGTCTGTGCAATGTTCTTCCAAATGGCTTAATCGTGTGCGAAAATAAATAGTGCTTTTTTTAACACCTATCAGCTAGGAAAACAGGGTGATGGCTGAATTTAGAAGTATGAGGTACAGGAAAATTTCCCATGACCAAAAGTGGTCTATGGCAGTCTGTCAACTTTTGCTGTATTACTATTGCCATCTCTGATTTTTGTTGTTTCGGGGTGAGCAGTCAGCTATCCTGTAACCAAAAGAAAACAAACACTTACACTCTAGCAAAAATGATCAATCAAAACATGAGGCCATGAAAGCACAAACTGTGGGTGGAAACAGGTGGAAACCAGGCCCCTAACCTGGACACACATGTTTATCAGAATGCTCCTTCTTATGGACCTTGTGCAGAGTACAAGAGGATTTGGCCAGATATGTTAATGATTCTCAAAAATAAAAGATTCCAACTCATAACAGCACTGTAACTCCAAGCCAAAACCCCATTTGCAATGCTACAGTAAGTACAAGCCACTGTGTAAAAAAAAATAATATTCTATGGGTGATTTGGTATTATGACTTACAAGGCTATGGTCTTATGGGTTAGCAGAATGTAATCTGTCCTGACCTCTGTTCTGCTCACCTCAGATTCCTGTCTTTCAGGAAGCGTTTCTATGCCGTTGTGCTCCAGGATGTGCTGAGGAGCCTCAGCATCTATGTCTACATTGGCCTGCATGCTGGGCTTTTCATTCTCCCACTTTGCAAAGCCTTTGTTCTTCCCAGCTTTGCCGTGGAACTTGGACTTCATTTTTGGGAAAGTGTGAGACCCTGAATCACTCCAGCCCGGTTCGTGCCACAGCGGTTCTGTCTGCGTTGCTTGGCTGGCTGTCGCCCTCTGCAGCCGCACTGAAATCTTCCGGGAGGAGCCGGTGACAAGAGTGATGGCTCTGCCATCGAGGTCCTGCTGTTCTGCATCGACGCTGGGAAACTCAAACACTTCATCCTGGGCTGAACAAGAAGGTAAATTCTTTTCTTTTTAAATATTCTCTTTCAAGATCTTTATAAAGAGATATTTTAAAACTTGGTTAAGGGGAAGGGAGGAAGGGATTTAAGGGTTCAGAAGAAAATGTCTGTTATTCTGGAATGCTTATGGAAGCTTTTAATAGTCAGATCTCTTTCAAGACTAGACTATGTGCCACTGTATGCAATTGCATGATGGTTTGCAGTGGTGTGTTGGTACAAAGGGAAAATGACAAGTGGCAAATAAGGATGCTGCCTTTGAAGAGTCATCATAGAGTCATTTATGTTGGAAGGGACCCTCAAAGGTTATCTAGCCCAACTCCCCTGCAATAAGCAGGGAAAGAAAATAGAAACAAAAGAGTGCTCTCACCTGGTGGCAGGGAAGGGCTGCTGGGCAGGGAGCCGTGGTTGCTGCCCACAGAGGTTCCTCGGGAGAATTTCCTGCAGGCAAGCACGAGTAGGTCCCTGCACTGCTTGTGGCAGTTGGCACCGCAGTCTGTAGGAGGGGGACAGTAAAGTCACAGCCACTGGGTGATCCCTCGGGGCTGTCAGCACGTGTGTGCTGGAGGGACTTAGCCAAACAAATATGGTTACAAAAGTGGATCATTTATTGTGTTTAAAAACAGTAATATTATGGCATTCTAGCAGCAGAAGGAAAGAGGGAGATGATATTGTCATCAGAAATGATGACTTCACAAGTGCACAAAGAGCAGTGGTTAAGAGTTCTCATTTCTCCCATCAGTTTGTTGCTTTGAGTGGCACTGAAGGACCCTCCCTACTGTGGTTTTGCAGTGGGTGGTACAGATGGGAACAGGCACTGGCTGCACTTGTTGACCACCAAGATCTGAGCAAGAAGCTCAGCTCTTACCCTCATGCTTCACTGCCTGTTAGTTTTGATTCTGCAGAGCCGCTTTTGCTCTCTCCTCCCTGGGCCGTGGTTACAAGCAATGATGCAGGACAGCGCTTAGCTTTGAGATCTCAAGTTGAGTTTACAGAGCTGCTGTGGCAAAACTTTACTTTTACCTTCCTTCCTGCAGCCTGATGGTAAGAGCATAGCCCACAGCTGGCTCTGTTGTAGTTGCTCAGACCATGGGCAAGTTCCCCACCCCTGCAAAGGAGAAGTTCACGTGTGGGATAAGGAGACAGGAACAGGGAGTGTCCTAAAAAAACCATCCTGTCAATCCTTCACCCTTCTCCTAGGAGCCAGGCTAAGACTAACGGGAAGGAGCTTGCCTATAAACATGATCATGAAGCCCCAGCATTGTGCATAACAGAGCTGCAGCCAGAGAAATAAATAGGGTTGGGCTTTTGGGGTCAATGGACCACTACAGCTTTCTTGTTCTCTTCTGCTTGTTACAGTGTGAGCAATTAAAAAATTTAGTGAAGGAAAGTGAGAGATATAAGAGTTCTGGGACTTTTTTTTAAGCTGAACTTCTGCAGAAGATCTTGCAATGACATCTGCTAGGCAGTCCAAGAATTAAATATTTGTTTATTTCTAGCTCAGCCACTGATGCATTGCATGGACAGCAAGCCTGCAGGTACAGGCATGGGGATGTACATGATATGGACAGTGCTGCCAGCAGACCTTTTCCTGACCCCAGGGTATGTATTTCAGGATGTCTCCCTGCTAGGATAAGGACACTCGGCTTTCCAAGATGCCACTACTTGTTGGCACAAACTGACACCTTGCAGATCCCTTGAAGATGCCAGGGGCTGCTGAGGGGGAGGCCTTCAGCACTGGTGTTCTCCTGCTACAGTGAGGCTTTGTGGGATGCAGCAACCACTTGCTGGTCAAAGCCAGTGTGGGCTACTCAAGCAAAATCTGGCTGCCACTTCAGTGAAAAAGACAGTTGACTTCTGCTAAAACCCACCACCTGAATTGTGAAAAATCCATGCAGTATATTTATTTACCTTTACATTTGTAGCCTTGTTTGATTATACCCCAGAGCTGCAAAGACAAAAAAAAAAAAAAAAAAAAAAAAAAAAAAAAGGTCAAGGAATCAGAAAAGAAAGCCGGACGGAAAGCGAGGTCACAATGAGGAAGTACCAATGGCTACAGAAGCACAAACAGGATACAACTGCTCTTAACACCCTTCCTGTCAGGCAGACCTCCTCCTCTAAATGTGATAAGCCTTGTGTGGTTTCCCCCTTACTTCTGCCTGCAGTGGGACTACTGGAGAAGCAGCGGCACAGCTGATGCATACTGCCAGGAATGGGTAAAAGAATCACTGTCCTATCAGGCTTACAAAATCCAGCAAAGCACATTCTGCTTCTGGCTTGTTTTGAGCCATCTGAGGGATCATTCCCATGACACATCTGGTCTCCAGCCACATGAATGGGCCTGTACTCTACAAGCATGGCAGACAAAAACACCACTGGGGACGAAGTCACTTTGTGGCTTTGGAGCTGGTTCCCAAACATGGACTGATCCATTCACCTGACTTCTTCCATTAAGAATAGTCAAAGCCCAAAACAGACAGACAATTCACTGAACTCCTCTTTGCCTCCTCCCAGAGGCTGTCCTTATTGAATGTTGGCCTTCCACGTGGCAGCATATGCGTGTTCTGCTTTTGGGAAGCTGTCACTGTGATGTGAACTTGGAAGTAGAAAAAAAGATCCCCTGCAAACTGTTATCTGTACACTCAGAAGAAAGGTAACTACAACCATGGCATTATAAAAACAAATATTTTCACTCTGTACAGCAGAGGGAGGAGAGTATAGTCCAGTTCTAAAGGAAAAAGATGAGAGACTGTAGTGTTTATTTATCCTGAATTCCCTCAAAACATAAATAGCAAGGGTAAGCACAACTAGACAGTTGAAGCTGCATGTGGCTCCTCTATGACAGTATGCAGTGTGTGGGAGAAATGTGCTGAGTAAAAGAATGGCCAACAGGAAGAGCCACAGTCCCTATGGAGCACAAAAGAAAGAGTAAAAAAAACCCTGCATATTGTGTAAGACAGAACTGCTTGCGTTTTTCCAATTAGAGACCGGGATATTGTGTGGAACCATATAAAAAGCCTTGCTGAAGTCCAGGTAGATTACATGAGTTGCTCTTCATCTACTACTGCCATCCTTCCTTTGCAGAAGGCTACCAAGCTGGTCTTTTCCTGCAGATGCTGTAGATGTGCAGTGACTGTGGAGCTGTGGTTGGCCCCTCCTGGAAAAGCCACCCCTGGCTATGCTTTCCTCAGCTCTTTGCCAGATCCACTTGATGGGGTGTGGATTACTTTTCCTGTTGTCAAAGCTCTGCTCTGTTCCCTCTGGAGAGCTTTTTCCTTAATGTAACATGAATCCTGACCTAAAACTTTGAATCCACCTGACACGGCTCTATGACAAAGCTGCCTTCAGCCAGGCCCAGGGTAAGAGGGTCTGTGCAAATGTGGACGGCCAAGCTGGAGGGGATGGCTGCTCACTCACCCTGACATGGGGTGCAAGTCAAGCTGTGGGTCGGAACTGAGACTGGTAGCGAGAGTATTGATTTCACTCTGTGAATGGCATTAGATTGTAGCTTGACCTTTAAAGTTCACCTTGTTTTAATATTAGATGTTTGACTGGTACTGGAGCCAGTGTGCTGTCACATCCATTCATCCTGTTGCATGGTCAGTTCACATTTTTTTGACGGTGAATCACTGCATCAGTTCAAAACAGTTTCCACCCATGGTTGGTTGGACAGTGCTGAAATGCACAACAAACATACAGTGGCTGGTGCCTGTCCTATCAGCCCAGCTCATCCACAGGACAATGCTAGTGAATGCAGTGAGCTGGCAGGAAAAATGACCTTATTTCCATTTCCTCCACAATCCCTTACTTATTTTTGTTCCTGTGCCAGTTGTAATCATGAAGACATGGAAAAAGCCAGCAAGCAAACTGATAAGGGAGAAAAATATCTGGTAAAGAGGACATTGCAGGACACTCCTCAGCCCAACTTGGCGACGGAAGCCTTCCAAGCATGAACTAAGTGTCACGAATGCAATGACGTCTTCCTAAGGCAGCAGGCAGCCCAAAACAATAGGCTCAGGCCAGTTCCCAATGTTCTTTCTTCTGGAGTGGAGCTGCAGAGCCTGCCTGCAGGCTTCTGAATTAGCACTGACTCTCATCTCTGAGGCTTCTGCAGTTCCAGTGGAAATGGGCAGAATTCCTTCTTCCCCAGCCTTGATCAGCAGCTGCGATAGGGAACACAAAGGTCCTGGTGTGATGGGTGCCAAGCAGAAGTGAGGGAAAAGGGCCAGTCTGAGATGAGGTATGTTTTTGTACTTGGTGGTGCTGTCATTGTAACTTTCAGCCACGAAGAAGTATGACTGAGTGGGAAAGGTCACATAGCAGAAGCAGGATATTTTGCTGCTGCTATATGCAGCAGGCTAGCATGGAGCAGCAGGGACATGTTCTGGCTTCACACCCTGAGCTGGGCCACACGTGGGCAGAGAGCAGGAGCCTCTGCCCTGGTGGCCTCCAGCCTTTCTCACTCCTCTGGGTGGCTGCATGCAGATGTGCACAAACATGCACATCTGCTGCATCCATAAGTGACATCTAAACTATAATAATTCATGTTTCCGTATGGCACTTAAAATGGAAAAAGTTGGGAGAGGTTTGCAAGCCACACAAGTGCTCACATTTTGTATACAGCACTCCAATAAATGGCTTCTTATAAGCCATAAGCAGCTTAAAAAAAAAACCCAAAACATTCAAAAGTTTTCATGTTATAGAACTGCTGGCGGCCCATTTCTTGACAAAAATAGAAGTTCTGTTAATTCAGTAGAGAAAGGATAAAGGCTGTTATGGCTGTTCAGAAAATTATGAGCGGAGGTATGATGCCATGTGCATGTCCTGAGACAGAATGGCTTTTGCTTCATCTACATCTACCGTTCCAGACATCCATTTTCCCTGGAGTTTGTTTACATGAGAAATCAAGCTGAATTAAAGAAATTAAGACAAACCCCATGAGGCCATTCATGCAGTCCCTAATGTCCCTTAGCTAATGTAGTTTATCTTTTTACCTGCAACAGCAATTCTTACAAATGTCAGTATACAGGAACCACCAAAACACAAGTGGGTTCTGCAGCTACAAAAGGAGGAAATACCTTGTGCTTCTAAACGCAATGAGACATTTGGCTAAGCTGAAGAAACTTCAACAGTGCATGGAGCCAGGTTCACCCCATCTACACAGGAGTATAAGAAATTATGAGTAAGATTTACGATTACAAAAACATACTTACAAAACCTGCGCAGTGTTCACAGAAAGTTGGCTTAAGATAGGTCATCTCCTGGAAGTTGTGAATAAACCCAGGTCCCATTTTACACTGGAACTGGGATTTAGCTCTCAGAAAATAAGCCATCATTTCTTCTTTGCTTATGAGTCCATCTCTGTTAGGAAGAAAGTAGAGTAGATCTGTTACTGCTAATGACACTGAACCCAGCAGTATGTTCTCGCTACAAAAAGCATGCAGCACGCAAAGGATGTTCTTGGAAAGTGCTAGAACAGTCCTGGCAGAAGAAACAAGCTTTCCCTTAGAACCCTTGTGGTTCTGATTCTTCATTAAACTTCAAACACCGAATTCATAGCATGGGCCTTGGTCCTCCAGTTGTTCAGGATATCAGAGAATTTGGTGGCACAGAGCAGGCCATCGTGTGAAGGAGACTCTTAAGGCCTATGGCCACCACTGCCTCAGCCAGCCGTGCAGAGCTTATAGGTTGGTGTTAGTCACCAGTCTACCAAATAGCAAATGGAGTGCTTGATGGCTATAGCACAAGAGGCCATAAGATATGGGAAGGTATCTAAACAGGACCTGCATGCTAAGTACTGGATCCAAGTTCCCAAGTAACCCAAGGTTTTACCGAACACAGTTCAACAAAAAAACAAAAAAACCTTTGTATGTTATTTAAACAGAGCTTTTAGCTACTTCCCAGGCTGTGAAGATCCCCAGCTCTGGTAAGCTGTAAGCCTTGGCTGGAGGCATTCAGCAGCCAGACGTATCCACAGATTCATGCAGAGCACTGCAAGGGAACAACAAACCAGGCAGCCTGGGGAATTCAAAATGAAGGGACTGCCCAAACACATCCTCCTGCTGCTCAGTCTTTTGGAGCACATCCTTACATCACAACTGACTACACTCAGTCTTTCCCTTGGCAGACGGGGCTGCATCTATTTGAATAGATGCTTTTTAAAGCATCAGATAAAGTAGGACTCCAGCCTGGGTGAAAGTATAGGACCTACTTAACATAAGAAGTTAAATGAGAATAGAATTCAACATTCAGTGATACTAATTTCCTTAAGAGAGAAGACAGACATGAGAGGGTTGGAGGTCTGGAAGACATTGCCTCTTCAACATTTTGTTTTGAAGCATTTGTAAATTAAGAAAAGAAAAAAAAAAAAAAAGCAAAAAGAAAACAAACTAACAAACCAAGAGAGCTCCAAACTTACTGGTCTTTGTCCAACACACAGAAAGAGTCCAAAAAGGGGAAGTTTGCAGCTATACTTTCAAAGTCTTCCTGAGAAATGTAGCCATCATGGTCATGATCATAGTTTCTAAAGACAGACTGGAAACAGAAGGAAATTATTGTCATACCACCCAGACTGTCCTGAATCTGTACTATCTCTTCAACCTCAATCACATTTATATTAATATTCAACTTTACTAATCACATGTTCTATCCATTGTTTTATTCCTATCAATGCTAATTGGCACTTTAATATGCATATTTATTGGACTGCAGAGGGGAAAAAAAAGGCTAATTTTTAAAGAAAACTTGACCTCAGTACTTAACTACTGGAACTCCTCTACACCTCCTCAGTCATAGTTGTGCATGGTATTATTTCTTCTTTTTTTGGAAATGTCACTAAAATTCTGCCCCGTGTGACATACTCCCTTTGTTTTATTAAGAATATCACAAAAAGGAAACCAAGCACAAAACAACCCAACACCAGATTTCTCTTAGAACTGTAGGCATTTTTGGATTCACTTCGCCTTCAGTCAGTCACTTCTGCTCTGCCACAGTGCTGCCACAGTGCTGTTTCAGTCCTATTTTCTTACTAATACTTTGACATCCAGATCACAAGTACTTTCCATCTAACAACTACTTCCTCCCTCAACCAGCTCCCTCTGATCACAGGACCTCAGCTACACCAAGTAGAGATAGATATGGGACCGAGTTTAAAGGACTGCATGAACTTTTGCAAGCCCTCTTTAGCTGCTGAGGAATTCCTATATCCTGTCTTACAATAATTGAGGAGATCTGTAAGGGACATTAAAGCATTTTATACTGAGACCAACACATTGAAGCACAACCCAAGGCAGCTAGCAAATGACAAAGACTGGAAAAATGCTGACAGTTGTACGGTGTGATGTGGGTCTCTTTGTGAGCTGTATCTATAACCAGTCTGTGTTTTGATTCTGCGAGACTCAATATCGTGTGTCCTGAACAAGGCTAAAGTTGTGGAACAGGGGCCTGCATTTCCCTTGGCCACTGTATGGGAACTGCTGAGTCATGGCCTGAACCTCTGATTGATCACCTGAGGCGAGCCATGAGTCAGCCAGAGGAGCACAGGTGAAGGCAATTCAACAAGGAGCCAGGCTCCACCCCTCCTAGACCTATTTAAGAGCTGGCTACCAGAGGGGAAGGATCTCTTCTGGAGATCGCCTCTCTTGGTGTCATCTGGTGAGCTCAGCCGAAGGGTAAGCTCTTCCACTTATTCTCTTTTTGTTATCGTTGTCTACTTTGCCTAATTCTCTTGATTATATTGTGATTATAACATCTTGATATCTATTGATTATATAGCCACCATGTTCAGAAAAGATGAAGGAGTTGCAACGGATGTGGTTTAAACAAGGAGAGTTTTGGATGATTTTTATCAACACATGACAATGGCAACAACAACATAGGAACACCACGTGCAGTTCTGGCATCTTTCTAAGAAAGAAGAAAACTTTTTTCTGTTTTTTTGAAAGAGCACCTACAAAGAGGAAACCAAAAAATATATGTGTAGTCTGGTTGAGTGACTAAAGACTTTAATTTACCTTAACTACATAATCCCATTTATTGACCTCTAATATGGACGAGATCAGAATTTAATAGTTCCCCCCAGAGTTAGTTATTAATTTGTGAAAAGCAGAAGGAGGTCTTGCTTCATTATCTACAGTGCGTTCCTGGTTCCTCACCAGAAGTCCCTCATATGCCAACACAACAGGGCTCTGTCTCTCCAACGGGACCTTCCACTGTGTAGCTTTGTTTGCATCATTCATCATGCCTCCTTCATTCTGTAGCTGCAAGACCACAGCTGGAACTCTCTGTGACCTCGTACCAGATTTTCAAAGTGACACCAAGACTGTACTATCTTTACTATGCATAATACACTTTGGACAGCTTGGCCACCAGGCACTGACATACCGACACCAAGAAACCTGCCTCTTGCCAGCAGATAAGCACAGTAGAACGCTTGATCCAGGGGAGGCTTTCCAGAGACCTTCTCTGGGCTTAGTGATGTGTGAGTCCTTGAAAATTTGCCATTTTTGCCTCTGGAAACCTGCTTAATAAGTGTTAGCTCTGATTTCTGGACTAAAATAGAAATAGTTCTGAAAGTATCAGCAAGAGCTCAAATTCATTAACAGATATTTAAAACTTATCCCCGTCACAATAATTGCTCAAAAACCTTGAATGAAATTGTTTACAATGATTACAGTATCAAAAGGAACGTTCCCTTTGATGTATTCTTTTGAGTACTTACATCCACTAACTTTCTTATGTGCTTGTTGATGACGGTTGGGTCAGGCTTAGGTACCACTCCAGATGCCCACTCCAGTGGCACCACTGGTTTGCTTGGGGTTGTTGGGGAGGTAGGCTGCTAGGAGACCAATCAAACACAACGATGTTAGAATTTGAATTATGAAATGTGAGTTCTCATAACAAGCAGCACCATATGGCAGCACTGCAGCCAACTTCAACAGCAGTGAAACTTGGGGGCAGGAAGGAGAGTCTCTGGACACAATGAGAATCAGGAATAGCATAGAAACCTACTCTTCTTCATCTTGAGAGAGCCCCTAAGGATCCCGCCATCACGAGAGGGAGATAAACAAGCCTAATGAAAAATGTTTTATTATTGTGATAATAAGGATATCGTAGACTTTCACACTGAGATGAAAAAGGGTCACAAGGTCATACCATACTGTGTTTGGTAGGAAAAAAAAAAGAAAGGATGTGTTCTTGACTCACCATATTAGTGTGCTCAGGTGAGTTTAAGAAGAAAATAATCTCTATATCCACAGAACTGAATTCCAACAAGAAACACTCAACACTCAACTCACTTATGGAACATTTTTAATCCTAAGATTAATGTCACCATACGGTGATGAAACAACCTGCTGGCAAATATTTTTGCTCTAAAAACACACAGGAATGCAGCAATCTTTTAGAGACAACATGTTATACGATAACACAAAACATGCCAGTATTGTGACATCTGTGGTTTGATGTGTTCCTTCTCTCAAAAAAAGTTTAGGTTAATTGGGACTCAAAGAATTAGCACACTGGTGCTGGACTACTACAGACTCACAGAGAGCTCCTGCTGCTCTGAGTATACACAGTGGCAGAAAGAAACCAAATCCACTGGAGCATTCCTCTTTCTTCTGAACAATCAAACTCTCACTCTCTCTCTCTCTCTCTATATATATATATTTGGTGCCAACGCTTATATGTTGGCATTGAAATCCATCTTATACTGAAGCAAAATATATCTATGCTAGTGCACCCTCAGTGGCAGAATTGTGCTGGGCAGAGATGCCCATAAGCCATTGGCTGTACAAGCAAAAAAAAACCAACAAACTAGGTAGTCCCTGGGTATTCACTGAACACAGCATCAAAGTCTCCAATAACAGCTGGGTACTCATACTACTTTGTAATTCTCTTCACTTACAGTGGTGACCCACTCCTTCCACAGCACAGAGCTGTAATTGCCCAACTTTACTGGCAATGAAGGAAGCAAGAGGGAGCCAGAATAACTGTGGCAAAGGGAACAGTTGTGGTCAAATTACATCCAATGCGGACAGGAGACTCATCAGCGAAATTCCAGGTATTCAGACTGAATTAGTGCTGACTGTGGAACTACTCAATATTGCCCATCATCCTCCATTGAAACCACACACATGCAGTCTTCAAGCTGGTCTCCAAAAGTGATGAACTATTCTTAAAGTCAGGTAAGTCCTATACTTAATAGCTAAGGGCTTTTGCATCCTTGTTTCTCCTTTTAAGAAGATACAAAAGTATAAAATGCACTGAAAAGAAAGACCTCCCAGTACTGGTCTCCCCCTCTCACACCCCACTGTGCATTTCCAGCCACCCTTATTTTCAGCTGGTGTCAGAGTGAGAGCTCAGCTTGTGAGGATCATGTGCTGGATGTGACAGGCAGTGAGGGTGCTGAAATGCTCACAGGACAGAGGAAGTCCCAAAAGCTGATAGCTGGAGAGAGAGCAATACTTTAAACAAAATGTCAACTATTAAGATGTTTACCTCTAACTTAAAAAGCATAATACAAAGTGTACCAATGCAGCCTTATCTTGATAGGCGCTTATAAAGGTTATCTTCACATAAAGCAGAACTCTGCTTTCTAGAGACTTCACTAAACTCTGGCTTGTTTCATTCTTCTTTACATATAGAATCATACACAATAAAAAGTTTAAGGTGAATATGAAAGAAACTGACTAATGGACATTCAAAAAATACAAAAAAACTTCGTGCAGAAATACTAAATAATATGAAAGAAATGCAGTAAAAGATGACCTACAGATTTGGAGTTCCTTGGTTCTAGCACCAGTGAGAGCTTGTAGATGTCATCCTCTGTGTGATAGAGGTCCAGGGACAGCTATGGGTAAGAAAGAGAGAAAGACAGTAACTTTTATTAGACAGGGTCAGATACAGCAGGTTTGTTAGCAGAAAGATATCTCCCCCTGGTACTAAATACCAGAGCAGGTGCCCAGGGCCATGCCCAGGAGGCTCTGGGCAGCTTGTGCCTGGTGTTCAGAGGGAGCCTCCTGTGCTCTGGTTTGGCCCACTGTCTTTTTTACTGGTTCTGGCTCTATCCTCATATCCAAGGATACTTCAGTAGTCCAGTTTGGCCCATTCCTGGTCCCCTCATGCTGAGCAACACAAATTCCCTTTCAGCTTCTGTTTCTAGGTAAAATTAAAGATTTTTCTTTCATGTACTCATCCTTTTCGCTACAGGATTTGCTGAGGGAAAAGAAGGGACTTAAATACAGTGGAAGTAAAATGAACATTTTTGCTTTGGCAGCTGTGGTCGTGCAGTGGCACATGTCTGCAGTGAACTCTTCCTTGCTGAGGTGATCCCCGCTGTGGCCAGTTTTATGCAATGAGATGAGCATTGCATGCTTCCTGTGGTCATCTCCTTGCATCAATTGGCTTTGGATTAATTGGCTTGATTTGAAGTTATCATCCATCTTTCAAATCCCCAGTTAAGCTGGAATGTTCCACAGCAGGCAGATGGAATTACTACTGTATAAACAGCTGTAACAGATTATTATTTTCAGAGAACTTGAAGAGCAGACTTAGTAAGGAGCAGAACCAGGCCCAATAACCATCTTGCCTTAGGCAAGGTGATTACATATTGGTTAAACAAGCTGTCTTTTGTATTTAGGCTACAGTTTTGTGCCAACAGATGAAATGCAATGAGTCTTCTTAGGACAGCCTTTACAGTGGCAGTTTCCAGTTTAGTTTGACTCTCCTTGCTGTCCTGTTCTCCTTAGTAATTTGTCAGGGAGGGGTGTGAGGAAAGCAGAGGGGGATCAGAAAGGCATGGCTTTGTTCACATGTGGAACTTACTGAAAAAAAGTTGGGGAGGGTGACTTTCAATTTAGCTGTTTAGACATTTCTCATTCTCTTCACTAGACTGTACAAGCGATGGGGACTTTCCAGCCATTTGCATACAGTCTTAGAACAGGTTGGTTCTAAGCCATGGAGACCTAAAAATAGCCGGGGGGGAAAATAGTGGCACCAAATAAGCTGTAACTCAGTATAAATCCACTGTGGACTAATGAAGAGACTGAAGTCCTCTTCCTATCCACAGAAAATGATGGGACATTTACCCTCAGGCTTTTATTCATATAGTGAAATAAAAACAATGTGGAAATACTGCACAACAGGTAAGAAAATCATAGAACCATAGAATTGTTTCAGTTGGAAAGGGCACTTACAGGTCACCTAGTCCAACTCCCCTATGTTCTAATTATGAACCTGTCCCTAGAGCCATTAATCCTCTTGGTTGCACTGCTGAGCTTGTGCTTAGGTTTGTTTTTACCACTTTTGCTTCTTTGTTCCTGTCAGAATGTAGAATGGGTGCAGTCAGTGAGAACAGAGCAAGTGTGGGCAATAGCTCAGGAAGGGGGATTGAGGAGCACAGACTAAGAGTAAGCATGTAACATGCTCCCAGGCAGCCAAGTCATGCTACATTCAGGTCTCTTGCCCAAGTAACTTGCCCTAACTTACACACAGCCAAGTGAGAATTCACATCATTAAAGCTTGCTCTCAGCCTTTGCAGCCTCCTGCGCGACTAAACCTGGTGTTTGCCTCAATTGCCTTCCAAACAACAAACCATTGCCTAATTTGTGGAGAGAACTCCAGTTCCCCCTGAAAAATGGTCATGCAGCAGCTAACACTGAAAACAGAGAGATTTAAATTCTCTTTTTACCCGTTCACCTTTATCAAGGAGTCTGAGGTTTACTACCACGTTCTCTGGCCCAGCTTTTAAGCCAGTAATCACTCAATAGCTCTTAACACAGCCTCTATGATAACCATTTCCAAAACACTTGAAAGGCTCAGCTTCTCCAAAGAAGACAGATTTTCATCACTGTGGAAAAGAAACACCAAGGCAAATTCCCATATGCCCACTTAGTTGATGAAATGCCCTTTTTATTGCACTGTGCAAGCTGTGGCCCAGGAAGCCAGCACCCAGAGATGTACTTGTCATGCCAGCACAGCCCAGATTGGTGGCACTTGCTAAGTGTGATGTAAAAGGATGCAGCGCAAGGGACAGAGGCCAGACAAGAGATTTACACATTGCTTATCAGGATGAAACACCTACTAAAAGCTCTCCCAGATAGAAACGGCTTCTGCTGAGAAAACAGCAAAAGTAAACAAATAGCTGAGCCAGCTGATTGATGTACAAATGAAGAGCACAGCACAAACAATGCATTTACCAGTTTTGGAATTAACTAAAAGATGTATTAGAGCTGAAAGACATAGCAATAAACTGAATAATTGCTTTCTCTGGCTCTGAAAACTGAGGTTGACTTTGGCAGCAAGGGAGGCTAAATCTGCTAAAAGACTGCACATCCCAAGGTCAGCTATTTTCAGCCTGCAGTTCTTGTCAGCTTTGGGCTAAGACCCCAGCTTTTCTTCTCTTTCTTTGACCCCAGCCCGTAATTTATAACTTTCTTATTAACAAAAGGATTGTTAGAAATGTTTCATCTGTCACATAAGTTTGTTAATACAGTTCAAGAGACAACTGTAAGTAAAGGGACTGAAATGTATTCATATGGTACAAAGGAGGACCAAACATAACACACTGGAAGAGAAGTTGGAATATTCAAATGGTATGAGGCCTTCCAAAACTCAAGTCCAGGTGGTATCTGGTACAAATTTATTTCTAACCTTCCAGAAGTAGCTGTCTTAAGTGAAAACTCTCACACTACTCAACAAACAGACAGAATTACCCTGGAAAAGTCTTAGGACGCCTATGGCCATCTTCATCACTACTGAACAGTTACAACTATGGATTCATGACAGTAGACAAAAGGCACAAGTTAATTTTAACCCCTGATCAGGCCTGGGATTAACACTACAGTATGCAACTTCAATTATTTACAGTCAGATTGGCTCAACTATTAGAAAGCCAGCAGTGCAATATGAGGAACAAATACATCAGAGCATCATGAATGAAGTAGTACTCTTCTTATACTCAATTACTCTTCCTGGTAAATGAAATACAGATTGGAAAAAATATTATATAAATATAAATAAAATCTTATTTTGCTGAAAACAAAAGAAATATTTTTAAAATGGAAAAATGGGTAAAAAACAAGAACTTGTACAACGACGGATATCAAACTGCAAGTCTTAGAAAAATCTGATGCTTTCAGCTCCTTTTGAAATGCAGACCGTTACCCAAAAGAGTGGCAGCTAATCAAAATGACAGCAGTAGTTCAGCTTCCATTTCTCACTTCACTTCATTGTCTAATTTGTGCCCTTGGGTGCTCAGTTTCTTATTCCTCAGTTCTCTAAAATCTGATGTTCCGCTTCCCCCTACTTGCAGCCAAATCTGTCAGAAACTGTGAACTCAAGATGAGAAACAACGCTCAATCCCTACTGAAACAAAACAAGATGATAAATATCTGTGTATGATCAAATTAGAGAGGCATTACCGTGGGCTATAATGTGGCCCCTTCTCTTCACTGCCCCACCAGCTGTGATTAAGATGTGCTCCTGTTTGCTTCATATAAAGTGCAACAGAAAAAGTTTGTCCTATTCCTTAATGAAGTGACACCAGATTGGTAGCTCCAAGCTCAGGCTCATTTTTGTCAGTCGCTGTACCTGATCAGTTCCAGAACAAATCCACCACAAAGTACAAACTCTGTATAATTTCTGATAAACGTATCTTTGAGCATTTTAAAGTAAAGTGAAAGGAAAAAATCTAAGCTCCTGCTCAATAGTGCTCACTCAAGGCGTTCACATAGAAGGAGACAAGTAATGAAATTCATCTGAGGTCCATGATTTGACAGAAGAGAAGCTGGAATTCAGCTCCCACCTCTCCAGGCAGCAATGAGCACAGCAGTTCAAAGCCAAATTCGTTCCCTGGCTTTGATCTATCTTTTGTCTGTCATTTAAAAGAGACAAGAGAAATCTGGAGAAAAAGTTGATCTAGAAAAGTTCATGCTAGCCAATAAAATAAACAGAATCACTGGAAAAGTTCTCAAATCTATCTTATTCTGTCTCAGACAGACCTTGTTTGATTCTAAGTTTACTTAGAAAAGAATTCTACTGACTTAATGACAGAAGGCAGCTTCTCTTTCAGTCTGGATTAGAGATCTGATGGACAAGGTGAAATAAGAATAGAAACAGCATAAAATGATCACACATCGGGAGAGTCCTTTTTTCTAAAGTGACATCTTTAAAAAACAGCTCTCAGATGAGTAGATGGCTTGCTTTTATCTGCAACATGAACTGTTTTAACGAACAACATTCCTTTCCTCCAAGTTTCACTGCTCCTGTCTTTAATTCCAACTGGTTTTTGCCCCTAATCAAACCATGGTGCTGGATCAAATGCTGCTGCAGTTAAGATCAATGCTAATTTGAAAAAAATTCAGCAGAAGCAGAATTTGGTCAGTAGATTCAGGGGGCATGCTTCAATATCTTTTGAAGTTAAGTATCGTATTTATTATCAAATGACACTAATTGTCTACATACAAAAAAAAAAGGGGGACTTAAAATAAATCCCTTTCAGCACTGACACTTGTGGATGTTTTTTCAGGAACTACTTAACACCATACAGGAATACATTTATTTACGGTATAGGAAGAACACTGTATCATTTACAAAGCACAGGGGAGAAGGAACAAAGTTACTCCCAAGTTAGAATTTCACTGATGTAAGTATGCCAACACATAGCCCAAACTTTGCAAAGGCCTAAATTCTAAGTAGTCAGAACATTTTCCTTTTAATACAGAAGCATCTCTCTCTCCATTATTTTTTTTAAATAAATGAATCAATGCAACTGTTTTCTGTTTCTGTATCCAGCCATCACATACTCTCTGAATACATTCACATCTCACATGGACTTGTTTCTATTCTGCATTGCCTCTTTTTTAAAATAAAAAAAAATGTTACAACAATGTACACTCAACTTTGTATTGACATTCAACATCTAAATAACAGAAGTAAATTGGAAGTTGCACAATACTTACTGTTAGCAGGTTAATTAAATCCATATTAGGCTCTAAGTGATGAGAAGCAGTTTGCAGGGAAACCAGTTCATTCAAGGTGATGGAAAGCTGCTGCATTTTCACTATGTTTACTTTATTTTCATCTATCCAGTCAGGAAAAATGACATGGACAGCAATCAAGTCTTTCAAATGAACTCCTAAAATAGGAATTTTGAAGCCAACACAGTCAGCAAAAGCCTTGCGGTAGTTGCAGTAGTTTCCATTGGAAGAGACCAGCTCTGTCATTTCATTCCAGTCCTACAAATAGCCAAAGAAGCAAGTTCTTGTGAAAGCATTCTTAGCATTTCCTTTATCTGTTGTAATGAGCATAACTTGTGGCTGAGTCAACAGAGTTAATTTTCTCTCTAATACAGGCAATCAAGCAGAGAATCTCTGTGAGTCAATTATTCTCCGCTGAGAGAAGCCCAAGCCCAGTCCCCTAGGATACCCTGCCAAGATCCAAGTATTGTGCTGGTGAGACCTGAACTGCGGAACTCATCAGACCTTCAAGAAGGGATGTTCTGCTCAATATCTTTACATTTGGTTGTCCACCATACCTTTGTGACTTCCGAAGACAGATGAGAATGAGTCTCTTTCAGGCGAGAAATAGAGCTATGGCTAAGACCTCCCACAACTGCCATCAGTGTGTTGAAGTTCTGGAGATGAAGGAGCTTCTGTAGAAGAGATGGATCATGAAAAAATAAAAATAAGGGTATGTATGGCAGCTATCCAGTATCACAGAAGACAAGCTAAAGGAAACGTCCTACCATTGCTGCATAGGAAACAACTAAGCCAAGGGATATAAGGGAATTCAGCAATTATTTTTTAAATTAGATTAGTTCCACAAGAAACATGTGATAATGACAGTTGGGAAACAGAATACAACAAAGAAAAAATACATTTTATTTTTTGTCTTCTAAAAAATGCAGATGTGCCACACCTGAAAGAAATAACTAGCAGTTATGTTGAACAGACTTTTCACTCAGGAAACTGCCCAAAGAGCACCCAGTTCACTCGTTTCCTGTGATCTCTATATTGTTGGTTCATATTGGAGGAAAGAGACTCATAAACAAGACATACCTGTGCAACATTGATAAACTTCGTGATCACTTCTGCCCTTTGCAGGGGTGTCGGCTTGCTGAGAACCATGAGCTGGACCCACTTGGAGATACCATTAAACAAAGCAATAGATCTCTCCAAAGTAGGATTGTTCTCCAGGCAGCCATGGATCACATAGCTTTGGTAGTCTGTGAACTAACAAGGAAAGGGAAAGACATTTTCAGTAAAGTGGTGGACAACCTCAGAGTCAAATTGAAACTTTGATATTTTTTCCCCGTCAAAGCTGTTCTTGTTTAGAAAGTGACTACAACTGATGCTCAGCAGACCCTGCTGCATATCAATACTTTCTTAAAATGTTTTCTTTTGTCTTATTTACAGGTCTTGCTGTATCACTTAAAACTTCAGCATTTGAATGCCAGGTATTACTAAGGCATGCATGATGAATATGATTATTACTTCTATGGAATCATTTTTCCCCACGATTTACTCAACACTTAAGACATTTTATTTTGTGCAGTTTTACTTGACATCCTCATACAATTATACTGTATACAAATGACCTAGTGCTACAAGCAAGAAGCATATAAAAAGGAGCTTTCACTTCACTTCAATACCTGATCAACAGCATTACTGGGCGCTGCTGAAGTCAACAGGAGCTCCTAACAAGAGTCTGAACTGCAACTCAAGAAGCTAACTATGCATCAGTTTTCCTATGTCTTCCTCCTACATCAACTGATCAATTTGTAGCACAAGCAGCTAGTTCTGCTAAATCTTGCTCATTCTGATATTGTTCATTCCTATGTGTTCATGGATATCGTTCCACACGGATGGCTACCACTAGAATTAGATTTCCTGACAACTTCTGGAAAGTATTCTTCAGCTCTCCCTTAAATTTGGATTTTCAGAAGCTTATGATGGAATTTCAGCTTGTGTAGGGAGCTGTAGCAATACCAGCCAACACTGACTTCTTGGTCATCTTAGCTGCTAGAACTGCCTGCTAGAAGACAATATGACAGCATATTCTCTTACACAGTAAATGAAATGTAAAAAAAAAAAGTTTTGTTAAACAATATGAATGCCCTTTCCTAGGACAGGGTCCTATCTGCAAACAACAAAGTTTGAGGCTTCTTACAGAAATTCTCCTAAAAGATTTATGCTCCAGAAAAGTGAGATGTTCAGCTAGTTCAATGGGCTCCAGATGATCAAAAAGTAGGCAGGCTTTTCCTTTCTTAGAAATCTTCTTCCTTTGTGTAACTCTTCTCATCCAGTCATAGGAAGGTCTGCAAGAGAAAATTAGACACAATTCTCATTTCTTTTTGGGGAGTAGCCATCAGTATACATAAAATTATCAAGAGAGCTATCTGTGGCTTCTAGCAGACAACACTCAGCATAAGATAACGTTCAGATGTATAATGAGGAGTAAGGATTTCAGAGATCTCCTTTCTGCATAAGATGCATGATATCAGGTTTCCATCGGAAGAAAAGGACAATGTACAGGAGGCTGTAATTCAAAAGTGCCTTGGAAATACAAGAAAAATAAGTCAAATTCTGAATAAGACAAAAAAAAAAAAAAAAAAAAAAAAAAAAAGCCACCTTCAATAACATCAAGAATTAATTTTAACTCTGTAAGACCACAAGTCCATAAAATAACAGAACGGTAGAAATGCCATCAGTTGAACAACCACAGTAAGGTGTTTGTGCATAACCATGTAAACCGTTTGCTTACAAGTAATGGAATAACTCCTACCCAAATACAGCAAAGGCACTTCATAGAGCAGAAAGAGGTTCCTAAGTTAAAATTTTAAAACTAAGATTGAAGAGCTAATATTCATGTGATTTCACTGGCATTCGTGCACAAAATTTTGTAGACTTCACTGAGATTAGTTGGGCCATCATTCCAGGTTGCTACGCTGATTTTTAAATAAGGAAAAACAATTTTGACTGTGCCATATTTTAAAAGAAAATCTACAATATCAGGTAAGATATAAGAGCCTGTTTGGTGATGTTAAAAAGGTAACTTCTTAGAAGTCATGGTAATAGTAGTATAAGCACTTCAATGCAAGAAAATTACACATGTCAGTGCTAAAGATTATTGAATTAAATAATAGAAAATAGCACACAGAAAGGCATTGGAAAAAACAGGTAGGTTACAGATACGAGAATAAAAAAGCTTCCATAAGAAAATACAAGATTTACACGATGTGCCAATCACTGCGTTGCTTGTCATTCTGTATGAAAAGTAACAGGAAGAAAGTAATATTAATCATTTAATTAGCACTAGGTTTTTCAAAAGAATCAAGAAAATTATTTCTTTACCATTTACATTGAATACTTATGCACAGATAAGAGATTGCAGTGTCAAACTACGTGTAGAATTCCAAATTTAGACGGTAAGAGAATTTTTTTTTGTAAATGATTGTTTGCTTTCTCAAGATTAGGATGGCCTTTAATACTTTCATATTTTGGACAGAATTAGAATTCTGCTGCTACAGAGAACAGAGGTAAAGATGATAAAGCTCATGACATTCTTACATGCTGGAGATATCAATGAGATCGATGTGATCCTCATAGCCAAGCTGGCTGGCTAATTCTCGAAATTCTTCAGTCAAACGAATCAGCCCGAGATCCAAGTTAAATTCTGCAGGAAATTCCAGAATCCAGTATCTGAAATTGACATAAATAAGTTCAGAGACACCTAGGGATTCAGGTGTAATATTTAGTGGCTGTACAGAGTTACTCACATTTTAATCAACAGAACTTAAGAATATTTCAGACAGAGTGGTTTTGGGGCAGAGAGGGTGTGCAACCCCAGCCTGCTGATGCTGTACTTCTCTCTGACATTAATGACAAAGACTTTAAAAATAAACAGTCACGGACCTAGAAAAACAGGGGCTGTACCACTGTTCTTTTAGTAGCTGAATCAACAGTCTCAAGTAACTCCAAAATATTCTAGCTTATAACTGACAACAGGATTGTTGACATCATGCAATCAAATTATCATATAATTTTCTTCATTTAATTCACCACAGTACCATACAGGAGCACTCTTTTGAAATGTCAAATTAAAAGATGCATGGGGTGACACACAAAAGGCAGCCACACCACACCTACCCCAACTCACACTGCCAGGGCACCCAAATGACTTGCATTTGTCCCTTGTTTAAGTGAGACACTGTGCTCAGAAAAAGATTTTCCAGTGAAAATGAAAACGTGAAGTTAAAGTGGCAGCACTACCACGATAACCATGTAAACAAGGCAATTCCTCTTCTATTTAAGAGGGCAGGAAAAAGGCTTTGTCAGTGCTACTTTCAGTACCTCTCTCCCATTCCAACACAGTGATATAATTTAGTCATTTGTTTGAGGGAAGCAGGTTGTAGCGTGTTAGCTTAAAAATTCATACTTTCTATTTTATGGAGAAATGCTCCTAACCAAGCACAGCCTAACCAGGGACAGCTTTCCTGTAGAAACAAAGTCAGAGACAATTAGGTGCAAAGATCAGAACAAATCTGATCTGTAAAAGCTTTGACATCTCTAACATACTTGTGTCATCATAAATTACACACAGATTATTTGAACCGAAGCCAACAGCCCAGAGATAAACTTCCTCCACCAAAATAGATGATACATGGAAGTAAAAAGTGTCACTGTTCTGTGTGGCACTGACCTCATCTCCCTGTCAGAGGTGTCATGCTCAAACACCAGGTAATACACGGCACAAGGTTTCAATCAGCTGTACAGTACATGCACAGTTACATGTCTTAAGCACTGGTTCTGCTGAAACCATTGTTTTCAAAGCACAGTAATTCACACTTTACTACAGACTAGAGATCAAATAAAACAATAACTTTTTTAAACATTAGGAAAATAAATTACAATTATAGTATTCACAGCAAATAGAAAACAGAAGCGTGCCTACCTCATGAAGTAGCAGATTTTTAGTCTGAATTCATTGCAGTTCTCCCCACTGGCATCTCTATATGTATTCTAGTTAAAGAAAGCTTTAGGTGCCTTGATTCAGTAATGTGGTTTTTATCTACATCAGACAGTGACTCTAGACCAGTTGAACAAAACCAGTATTAAAAACTTTCCTTCAACAGACAACTACAACATCATCTGATATTCATTTACTTACACAGTATCTTAAGACAACGACAATTTCTTGGCTGCCATTTTGGTTTTTGCCCTTGCAAAAATGCCTCTATTGCACTGTTCTGAGTACTCTGCTGAACAATTTTGAAGACACGTAGGTACTGAGCTACCACTGAAAGCTCGTATTGGTCCAATACCAGCCTGCCACTATAAATTTGAAAAATTATCTTGGCAACATTTTTCCATTTATTCAAAGATAATTCAAAGCATGCCTCAGCAAACTTGTTCTTATGGAAAATATCTACAACCAAAAGCCGAATGAAGCTCCCGGATTTCCATGTTTTAGGGTGAAAGAGTCAAACTCTGTTTGTTACTAATTAAGTAACAAATTTTTACATGCAGTCGCAGAAACAATCTGCTTTCAACACTGTAATGCTGACTTGCAAGACTTCCTGAAAGGATATGTAGACAGAAGCTTGACAGCCAGCTCTGTGGAAGGCAGGTACCAGCGATGCATTAGAAGAAAGATTCTCGGCAAATGGCTGGAGCATTGATTTCCTCTGTCATCTGAAAAAGAGCAACAAGGGAATGAACTTCTTAGCTGCGAACAGAGAAGCGTGTGTCGTTCAAGTGGAGATAAAAAAAATATCAGAAGTTAAAATCTTGGGCCATTATTTACCAAACAGACAGGACACAAAAGCAAAGCACACAAATCCTCCTTTAGAGGAAACTATTGCTAGACTGTAGTGCTGTAGGGAAAAGAAAGTCCAGACAACAGGCATGGACATGTCTAGCATATAAGCTAAATGAGTGCAATGAGACAGTGGGTTACACAAATAACAAATCTAAAGTTAGTCCACTGAAAGGGCAGGGAGATGGTTTATCCAAAACCACTTACAAGGTTTGTTTAGGTGCAGCTGCATATTAACCACTAGATTGTTTAAAAAGATGGATCAAAAGCAACACTTCAGTCCGTATGCAGATCACACCTCCAGCTGCTGTACAGACTCTCCCAGTTTCTGCAGTGTAGCCACTGAGGCTGTGGAAGTTACTCCCTGGCTGGTTGCCTGGCTGTTCACACTCCATAGCACCCACAATTCTGTGTTATTTTCTCTCTGTTGCTATTTCAGTAGACAATAGTCTACATGTGTGTATGAAACAGGAACCACATACAGACTAGAGCTGTCAAGAGAGCATGCATACATAGAAGAGAGATATTACTCCCAAGAGACATGAAGTATATTGGTTCTGCTACCTCTCACTAGGTATACAGGACAGCAGGTCTGATCATGGTCTACAAAAAATGGATATACAGAGATGCAGTATGCTCAAGAACCAAATCTGGCCCTTAAATATTTAATTCCTCTCATCTTCGGATGCTTCCTTCTCTCCAAAAGGGAAAAAAACCCCAAACCAACAGCCCTCAATCAAATCAAAGTCTGTCTTGTGTTCCAAGAGACTTTAAATGTAGCTTTGTGAATTAAGAACCCATTTCAAAGCATATAAGTATATCCATGAACTCATCTCATCTGGCTATAGGGTGACATAATTCTTGATTAATGGCACTGTGGATCAAGGTCTACTTCATCACTTCTTTCCTTCAGACCTGGTACACTACATTTAAATAAGAGTAAAATGATTACATGAGCCTTGAGTCATATTATTTCCAATTATTGCATGATGATTTGAAAAACGTTTCAGAGTAACAACTGGTCAGAAAAGCAGCTGTGTAACCACTCAAGACAAAGCCAGAAATAACTCCTTGAATCATTCAATTAAACATTTGTTTAGTTTTAAAACCACTATACACAACATTGCGCTTTACCTGTATTAAATTTTCTTAACGCAATATGCATATGACTAAAATTCTGGCCTGCATAATTCTGGGACAAAATGAAACATGGAAAATTTTACAGAATGGAAATGTTTGCCAAGGGAAAGACTGCCTAAATCAGAGAACAGCCGGGGTTATGCTATAAGATGAATTCAAAGAACAACAGCAAAGCAAAGTATTGAGAACACTTACCAAACATTTCAATACAAGCGTTCAAAAGCTCATCTAATGTTGCAGCCTTCCCAAGTGTGTTTGACCCCATTGTTCTTTAATCGTTGTCAAAAAATAAGAGGCATTTTCACCAAGTAGAAAAATGCTTCTTCAGTTCTTCAGCTGCACAGTTTTTTCATTTTATTGTTGGTTGTGTTCTTATCTGGGCTTCCAGGAAAACCTGCAGAGAGAAAGTAAAGGAAATCATAGCTATATGGCTACATGAGAGAGTTATCAGGATGCAGCATTTACAGTTTAATTCATCTTTTCTGCAAACTGTTTTTATCCCCTCACATGACACAGACCACGTGAAAGACTGCTGTAAGATTTCTATACATTCCAGCTTGTGTTTTTAAGTGTTTTCCAATTGCCCACTAGCACAAAACACATCCCTAGCAGGGGTCATAACATACAAACCAGATGGCAAATGAGGACATGCATGCATGCTGACGCACGCTTTGTTCAGGTCATTCTATTTACACTTGATAAGTCACTTTTTGTTAATAACGCTGCTTTTGTGTTCAAAATATAAACATTTGCTTTTCCTAAGGTTACAGGCTCATAGCTGATAGCTTTTTATGCTAGTGGTTTTAATTGGCATAGGCCACATAGAATGTTTAATGAAGGTCATAACAAACACTAAACTTGGAGGCAATTTTTCAAGGAACCTGGAGATGGAATGCTACAGCTTTTAAAAAGAGGTCTTTCTATAGGAGCTGAGCACGCACAGAAGGCTGAATGTGTACAGAAACTTCTAGAATGTACCATACATCTACTATGCATTTAATTAGCAGATATCCATTTACGCCTGAAAGATGCAAAAAGTACTAATCTGAGATTTCAGAAATAATTACAGATCATGTTTAAAGAGTTGGTATTTCAAAATAATTTAGTCGACACTTTAAAAATAGGATTGAGGAAAGCCATTGAAGATTCTGTCTATCCCTTGAAAATTGCTGCACATGAAATGTAGGAGGGGAAGTAATTTGATCAGATTTCTTTAACCATTCCCTATAACATATAGCATAGGGCAGCACCATCCCTATCTTCTGTTAACAGCATTAAGGCACCCTCATAGCAATCAACAAATAACACTCCATGTAGAATAGCAGTACTTTTATTTTAAATTGCATGACAGCTATTTAACTAGTAGATACCTAGATTCTAACACTACAGCCTACTCCCTATCTGACCACTAATGGGTCTTATGCTCATAACATTGCTAAAAGAAGGATGTAACATTTCCACTGGAGGAAGAATTGGCTGACTGGGGCTAAGCCACATATCCTCAGCTGAGCCAAAACATTATATCTCTTGATCACAGCCTCCAACAACCACAACCATTACATCATTATTTGTGTGATTAAGCACTGTTGTTCTATTAGAATGAGAAATGTCTAGATTGTGCCATAAATAGTATCCAACCACAACACCACATCTAGAGATGGATGAGAAGAGCTCACTCAGCAGCTGCTCCGTGTCAGCAGTCAGGTCCAACTGCTCCGTAAAGGACCCAGTGATGGACAGAGCTGAGCCATGAGCAGTGCTGGTTTTGACTGAGAGAGAGGATTTAAGAATGGGAAAAAACTGTTGCACTACAGCAGCTGGGAGAGAGGGGTGAGAGATGTGAGAGAAACAGCCCTGAAGGCACCAAGGTCAGTGCAGGAGGAGGGCAGGAGGTACTCGAAGGAGTTTCCTGCAGCCTAGAAGCAGCCCATGGAAGAGCAAGCTGTACCCCTACAGCCTGTGGGCACCACACGAGACAGATCTCCACCTGCAGCCAAGGAGGAGCCCAAGGTGCTGCAGTGGATGAGGCCTGAAGGACGACACAGCCCATGGAGAGCCCCTGCAGGAACAGCCCTGGGTCAGAGCGACAGCCTGTGGAGAGGAACCTGTGGCGGGGCAGGAGTTTCACCAGTCCTGTAGCACTTGCCTATGAAACAAACCGTGTTCTTAAGCATGTCATGCTTTATTTGATGACATATTACCATTATGGGAGGCAAAATTCCTTAATAAGTGAAAAGCAAAAATGTCTGCAGCAGTGTGTCCAGAGGTTAAAAGTTTTTAATGGACTGACCTACTAAATGCAGACTCCCTTACAAGTCTCAACCTCACCACGACCACCACATTGAACAGTCATTTGAACAGAAAGCTTTCCTTAACATTCTCATGCAGCCTAATTGTATTTATTATTCAACATTTTGGAAGTGCTAAGATGACACTGGACTGTCCTGAAAGATATGCTTAAAATGAACATTCAGGCTGTGAGCTCCTGTGGCAGATGCAGTCAGGTGTAATGCCTTATTTTTTAAAAGAAACAGGATACACTGTCAGCTAACTTGTGGTCTCATGCAAAAGCATTGAAGGGCAAGAACAGAGCTGGGGGCACTAGTCAAGTTTTAACTGTTGGCTATTATCAATAGTATAAACAGAAGTCATCACTTTTATTGCTGGAGGCTACTAAGGGGAGGTCCTCACCTGGAAGCTGCAGGGGTTTAACATAAAACCCTGATGTCAAGCCAATATAAATCACTGCACAGGCACATTCACATGAGTCCCATACAAGCTACATTGGTTACAGGTGCAAGCTAACCCAATAAGCTGGGTTTAAGTAGGCTTACATTTGACAAATGGGGTAATATTTATTTAGCTGAACTGAATTAAAACAGCTTTTTAGCCAAACCAAAGTAAACGTAGATGTAACATTTTCCCCCATCAGTTAAAAATGTGTTATTTTTCTGCCTAGGGACAACAAACAGAGCCACGTGTAAATAGTTCAACTTTGACACACAGGCACCTCTATGGGTCTCAGTAAACTTTCCAAAGACCTGCATACAGGAAACTCACATTCTTTACAAGATTAGGACACTCTTTGGAAGTTTAAGTAAGTTAGACTTCTCCTCTTCTTCCCCTCCTCAAATGAATGCTTGCATTAGATGATTTCCACCACCTGGCTGCTGGGCAGAAACTGCTGAACGTGAGCAGCTGAACAAGGAAATCAAATCAGTAGCAGTGCACAGAAAAATAAGCTGGAAAAAAAAAAAAAATCAAGAATCTCATGAGAATATTTATGGTAACTGCCCTTACTGCACTTTTTTTTGCTTTACCTTGTCTTGTTCACATCCATGCGAAGCTCTTCAGGACAGACCTCATCTACCATCCTTTAGATGGAATGGAGGATCTCAGTAGGAGGCCTTTCTTGCTATTAGTCTCCAATAGATTAGTGCAAATATAGGAATCCAAAATGGGACACATAAGGCTACACCTTTGCCTACACTGGTGCAGTCCAGACATCTGTCTGGGCTCAAATTGACACAAGTTGCCTAACGCATGGTTCCTTAAGTTTATGCTACCGCACAAGCAATTAAATATTTCTTGTAGGTTATCAGTACTGGTTTATTTATTACAGTACGTGCAACTCCATGTCTAGAAAACTCTAAGGAAGTGACATTCTTGGTCAAGTTTCTCCAGCTGACACATGCAAAAATTGTTCTAAGCAGGAAAGCACAGTGACAGTGTGGGCTGTCAGGCAGCCTAATGCCACTGTTTCTGTCACAGTCCATGACTTCAAGCATCACATGCTTCAGAATGGCACATTGGCTTACCAATGACATTTGTCATGTGGCGTGGAAACACAGAACAAGGGGAAGATTGTTGCACTGCCCCTTGCATGCAGGATATGAGCCTTGCTGGGAGCAGGAGAGGAAAGAAAAGCAAATCTGAAAGTCCTGGGATCTTCCACTGTGATTCACCAGTATTTATTCACCTTTGCTACACACCTTCAGACAGTAGTAGTCCAATTAACCAGGAGATCCTTGATAATCGCCTTCGCCTTATTACTTTAATTCACTTTTTCTGGATCAAAGTGGAACTTCAAAATACACTGAACAGAATGTTTACTCCACCTTTCAAAGGAAGAGAGGACGGGACATGGCTAAACGCATACTGCTGATGAGTAGCTAGAGCCAAACCTCATATTAACAAGAGACATCCACTGCACAGGGGATGTTAGTGATTCTATGCCTCTATGAGCTCTGCAGGATAGTCAACTTCTCCACTTCATTCACCTACTGCAAACTAGCCAGACTGTCCCCAGCTAGCAGCCAGGCACCCATATCACTTGCACTCCATTCCCTGCTGTGCAGATTACACTTAGTGCTTTCAGTGAGATACTGAACAGCGTGGGAAGTCAGGATCAATGCAGAACAGTTTCTACCTGCTGCTTTTTCTCTTTCACTCTTGTCTTATGTTCCACTGTGGGTCTTTTATTGGCTGTAGCCCCTTCACAAGAGTACCGACTCCATCACGAGCTTATCCATGGTCTCAGTTCTTTCAGGGATGTACCTGCTCTGCCACAGAGCATCTTCCAGTTCTCTAACCTTGCTATTCTCTCTGTTCTTTCCTCCTCTTCATGTTTTCTGTCCCTGCTCAGACTTTTTCACCAAGAGCCTGGCTGATGGGCTCAGCTGTGGCCCAGAGTATGTCCTGGTTGGAACAGCTATGTCTGGCACAGGGCAGCCTCTGGCCTCTTCCTCCCACAGAGATCCCATCTGCAGCCCCCCCTGCTGCCAAGCTTTTCCATTGGCATCTAACACAGCCTCTAAGGGATGAGCTTTTGCAGCCCTAAGATAAGAGCAAGCAAGTTAAAAATTGTGAAATGTATTTCATTGTGTTCAGTTCTGAGAGAAGAGTCCTTTGGGCTAACTACTTTCAAGTCATTGCATGCCACTTAATTAACACAGATAGATGTTATAAACAATTTGGAGGCTTTCTGAAGGAACAGGGGTTGAATGAATTGGACCATAGTTGAGAAACCAAGTGGCAATATAGATCTGCTCACATGCGTTACCAAGCGATTAGTTCAGAGCCACGTAATACCTTGTAGACATTCATAAATTAGAGTACGGAGTACAATACATACTGACCTAAAACAAAAGAGAAGCTTACAGAAATCACGAGGAATGCTAATGGATAGTCACAGGACCAAATACTTTCAGTAATCAGAAAGTCACTTGATCAAGACCCAAGCTGCTTAGACATCATTTTGTTTAGCATTCTTACCTCTTACTGGGAAATGTAACCAAGATTTCTGACATAACAGAAATAAAAATAGGTTTCTTCATATATAAGCTCTGCAAAATAATGGGTAAATTGATAACTGGATTTCTAAAAGCAAAGATTTCATTCTCAATTGCAATTTTAGTGTTATGCAATGTTATCTAGTATACAATTATCTACCATACTTGGGCTTTTTCCCATTCACTTCTCTATTTGCTTCTGCAATTTACTGTGTTGGCCTTTGTCTCTGTAGCTGTGAGTCCAGCTTATAACGGCAGTAAAATCTGAATGTGCATCCTTGAATTATTTAA